CAGCTTGTACAGTAAGCTGAGTTCATTTGCATTAAACCACGCTTGTCGCATGCTGCATCATCCTCATCCTCTTAATGAAAAGGTGTAAAAGCAGGTTGGCAGCAGTGACTGTGCCTTATTTGCTTTAGCATTTGCCACTGACTTGTGCTATGATCTAGATCCAACATCACAGAGGTACAGCCAGAAGGAGATGTGGCAACACTATGTTACCTGTCTGGAGTCTGGGGCGATGGTCCCTTTTCCAAAAACTGATAAACGAGTACCATTTCATCTGGACTGCAACAGCACCTCAGTATCAATCTTTTGCCTTTGCAGGCTCCCTAAAGATAGGCAAGAGTATGTGGAATGTTTTTCGTGCCATGGCTTGTATCATCCTCACTGTGTCTCAATACCAGAATGGGTCATTAAATCACGGCTACAATGGAACTGTCAAAAATGCAGAAATACCATGGCAAAGATGGGATCAAAGAACATTTTGGCAGGAGCAATTATAAGAACAAATAAGTGGCATTTCATTTAATTTCTATATTTTCTCTTGAGCAATTTATTTGGTGTAAAGGTTTGTTCTAGTCTGCATGCAGACATTTCATATTTTCTTTGCTTCATGTTTTTGAATGTGAAAACGTCTGCATGCAGGCTAGATTTGTTAGAGTGTTTACTTGATCCCTTGTTTTGCCATCACAATCAAAACAATAAATGGCATACTTTTCCAGCCTGCTTACTCTCCCCATCTAAACACTTGCGAGTTTTGCTTTCACCAAGTAAAGTGCTATCTGAAACAAAATTCATCTTTAACGGCTGATGAAACTGAATTAGCAATAGGCGAAGCTATGTCAAAGATAAGCCCAGCAAATTCTATCGCATACTTTCAAAAATGCGGCTACGTCTGATTGACGACTAAGTTATCCTACCTATTGATGGCCGCATATATGCCCTACTTCTATTTCGGTAGACGTTTTTAAATGTGTCACCACAAATATCAGGTGCCGTGCCAACCCGTGTTAGAATATATGTAGAGCCTAACGCTTTGTAAAACTGCAGTCTGAAAAAAAAAAACAGCTGGCATTCACTAAAAGTAACGATAAATGACAGTTGTTGTAGAATTAGTATAATCGTCTTACCTTGAAATCTTTTCATCCATGTTTAGCTGATGGAAATTATGTTTGAGCATATCAGCAATATGCGCACTGGTCGAATTGTTACTGAACGTTATCTCTTTCACACGGCCACCCGACTCCAGTGATGTAAAGTCGGCCACTTGCGGAGCGTGCAACTGATCGGCCTAGCGTAGCAAGATGAAAGTGCGTTTCATAGTTCGCGCACGCCTGGCATTACCACTCGCCATGTTTATACTCCAGTGACTGGTCTCGTAAGATTGAAGATATGAATAAATGATGTGATGATCAGTTCCACAGTAGATTTTGACACCTCCACCAGAAAAGGAGAGTGACGTATATGTTACAAAAGGGTGTGGTAACTGTGAAAGCTTCCTAGAGAGATTTCTCACCTTCTGCGTCGAGGCATTGTTTAAATGGCCTTGTATTAGGATGAAAAAATAAATAAATAAAAAGAATGTCAGTAACGTACTGGTTTATTCACAAATATCTCCAAATGTTCAAAGTCCGTACGGCCACGGACCACAAAAATATAACACAGTTGCACAATCTGAGGCACACAGTGAAAACTCACAATCGACACGTTCCTTGTTTACATAAAGGCGATGCGAGTGGTTTTCTGCAAAAAAATATAAATGTCCAATGTCTTATATGTTCTTCAAAACGTTTACAAATGTCCACAAATGTCCACTTACCGAACTGTATGGCCTCTCGGTTTAAAATAAACGAAATAGGCTCTGTAAACTCCGTATTTAATAACAAATAAATCTGGCACTTGAAAGCACATGGCGAATACAACAAGATTACTCGCGTGGTCACGTGACCGCAAAAATGACAAAATCCTACTCAGGGGAGTCGGGAGTGACACCGGCCCCTAAATGAATACACTGAAATTCATTTACAATGTTCAAACAGCTACCGACTCCTAACTGCCTGAGTTTAAACAGCACTCAGTCATCATGGGATACACTCCCACAGTTCTAAATCAGTCCATCTCTAAAGGACATAAACTTGTGATTGGCCGAGTGACTATCACACTGCTAGTCTTCAGCTCTCTCTGTGATGTGATGCTTGTAGGGCAAAATAACTGGGTGTTTCAACTTGTAAGACAAAGGCGCACGTCCAATACGGCCTCCTACTCTCAGCAATCCATCTTGAACTTGAGGATTCAACTTGCTTATTGAAGCTCCCATCTTTTTCATTAGCCTCTAGGCACTTGCTTAGCACCCGGCGCACTGCAGATCTGCCCTTCAAAATCCAATACTTCTGTCTCAACGACGACAGAACTGACTTTTGGCCCATGTGTCCCACTTTGAGGTGATGATCTCTGATTATTAAATCTGTGATGTGATGCTTGTAGGGCAAAATAACTGGGTGTTTCAACTTTACTGCCTCCTACTCTCAGCACTCCATCTTGAACTTGAGGATTCTGACATTAGCCTCTTTACTGACCTTTCATCCGCTCCTGGCTGGAGAGCTGTTACATCAGGGAACTCTTTGTGTTGAACATAGCGCATGATTTCATGCTCTGCCTCGCGAAGCTCGTCAAGTTTGAGGTAATTCCTTCCTTCCGTTGAATCATGTGTGGTTGGGCAACCTTCTCTGAGTTGTAGAAACTTGTTCATAAGATACTGTTTATAGCGCAGCAACCAGGCAATTGCTACCTTGAGCTTCCACCAGGATGAATAGTACAGAATAAGCTTCTCCATGACATCACAACTGACCGCTGTCACATAAACTTGATTCTCCTTTCTGACTTCTGGATCTTCATCCTTGAGGCAAGGGACCTCAATCATCTTTGGCCAGTATTCTCCCCCTTTCCACAAAAACTTAGGACCTGTCAGCCATCGGTTGTTCTTGATCAGAACGTCTAGCTTTAGACCCTTTGATCCATCGTCTGCCGTGTTCTCGTCTCTGTTGACATATTGCCATTCTTGGGGAGCAGAACCATCGTGTATAATCGTCAGGCGGTTGGACTCGAAGGTGTGAAATCTCTTGGTTTCATTGTTTATACACTTCAAAACAGAGTTGGAATCTGTCCAGTAAATGACTTTGTTCACGGTCAGATCCAATTCATCACGGATAGCATGGCTGAGTTTCACAGAGATGACTGCTGCAGTCAACTCAAGTCTTGGAATGGAAATTTCTCTGATTGGAGCTAACCGGGCCTTGCCCATGACGAACGAACAATGGACTCGCCCCTCAACATCTTCAAAACGAAGGTATGCGACCGATGAATAACCTTGTCTCGAGGCATCTGAGAACAGGTGTAACTGGGTTTCTTGAACCTTTACAAATCCTTTGGGTCTGAAACAGCGATCAATCTTCACCTCTTCAAGCTTGCTAAGGTCGTCTAGCCATCTTGACCACTGCACAGTCTCGTTCTCTTCAAGTGGTTCATCCCATCCAATCTTCTTTCTGGTTAACATCTGAAGTAGCAGTTTTGCCTTCATGATGTATGGTGCAATGAACCCAAGTGGATCAAATAAAGAATACACAACAGACACTATGCCACGTCTTGTCACTGGTTTCTTGGAAGACGCACTCATAAGTTTGTCTGAGACCTCCCACACAAATTTGTCATCTTCAATGTCCCACTTCATTCCTAAGGCACTTTGGGTTGGAAGCTGTTCAAGCTCCAAGTTCACAACTGTCTTAGCTCTCTCTGATTCTGGAATAGCAGCTATGACTCTCCTGTCATTACTGCACCATTTTGTTAGATGAAAACCACCTTTGCTGAGCTGCTCACGAACTTTGTTTGCCAGCACAATTGCGTCTGTCACTGTTTCAGTTGACTTCATGAGGTCATCGACATACATGTTCCTGTTGATGACACTTGCAACTTCTGAATTCTGCCCTCCGTCCATCTCTGCAGTTTTCTTCAAACAAAAGTTCACGACACTTGGCGACGACGTCGCTCCAAATATGTGTTTCACCATTCGGTACTCCACTAACTCTGCTGATAGCTCTCCTCCCTCCCACCACAAAAATCTTAATGCATCAGAGTCTCTGGGTTCCACTCTTACTTGATGAAACATTGATTGTATATCGGCTACAAGGCCGACAGTCTCTTGGCGAAAATGGCTCAACACCCCTACAATACGATTAGTTAAGTCAGGGTCCTGCAACAATTGCTGATTCAAAGACATCTTGGCAAACTGAGCCGCACAATCAAAAACTACTCAGACTTTCTCCGGTTTTAATGGATGCATAACTGGGTGGTGGGGCAAATACCACACTGGTCGGTCTTCTGGGTGTAGCTCATTGGTTGGTACTCTCTCTGCATGGCCCTCTTCAACGTATTCATTCATGGTTGCATTGTACTTGGAAAACAAGTCTTGGTCTTTGAGGAGACGTTTCTTCAGAAGCTCAGCTCGACGCTCGACCATTGACCTGTTATTTGGCAAATAAGGTGGATCATTACGCCACGGCAGCGCTACTTGGTAATGCCCATCAACCATTTTCAACGACTGTTCCATCTTCTCTAGTGCTTTCTTATCCTCAATTGAAAGACTTGCGCTTGAGCTCACAACAGAATCTGCAAAGTCAGTTTTCCAAAGTTTCTCAAGTTGCTCATGTAAAATCTCATCTTGTATTTGACGCTTCACTTCTGCATCTCCACACTGCAGGTTTACATCTGTCTCATTTGCTCCTAATTCTCCAACTTCACTCTCCTCTTTCTTCTCAACACCACCTTTCTGTCCTTCAAACTCTACAACCTCTGGCTCATCAACATAAAACTCCTTGTTACCCAGGCGAACAAAATTAACTGAACAAGGTCCACTATCTCCAGTGCCGCCCAAGGGACCCATAACTGTCCAACCCAACGAGTATCGCACCGCTACTGGCTCACCATGTCCACCTGACTTACATTCCAATGGGACAAACAATGAGGGCTTCTCCTTTAGGCCTATGATAAGACCGACATCTGATGCACTTAACTCTGGCAAATCAACATCCCTTAAATGGGACCAGTTCAAAATGTCTTCTCTCTTGGGAATGCAACTGACTGACACTGGTATCTGCTCAACAGTTCTAACGTTCAACAGTTCCTCTGACACTCTGCCATCCAACGACGTAACAACAATATCTACCACGTGGCCTTCAACGTTCTTGGACCCTGTCACTCCTTGTAGCTCATAGTTACATCTTGAGCCCCATGACCCGAGGTCATTGAAAAGCTGTTCCTTGCACAAAGTCACCTCGCTACCGCTGTCTAGTAGCGCATACGTCTCCACAGTCCTCGTCCCTCCCTTGGCTGTAACCTTAACAGGAAGGACTCCTAGGCAAACACGTCTCTCGCCGGCCCCAGTTGCTACTGTCACAGAACTTGCACCTTGCCGTTCTTGAGTCGCTCTTTGGACTTCACCTGAATTACTTGTGGCTGCATTAACTTGTTGAAGATGATCTTCAGCATCAAGAGAGGAACCATGAGGGGTAACACTGGTAGAACTTACTCTCTCTGTCTGATCTCTGGGAGTGGGGTGTAGCAGAGTATTGTGATCCTCAACACAACCTCGCACCTGACACTTGAAGGCTTCCTTGGGACAACGATCTTTAAAATGTCCTCCGTTGAGGCATTTGAAGCACAGCCTCTTGCTTAACGCCAACCTTTCTCTTTCTGGATACGGCAGCTTCTTGAATTTCTCACACCTCCATAATCCGTGCTGTCCAAGACAAGCAGGACACTTTCGGTTGGCACCCGATGTTTTACCATTTTGGTTTGCTTTCTGATCAAGTTCAACTTTAGTTGTCATTGAGGTTAGCTTTGATAGTGGTTTCTCTACCTTCTCTCCATTTCTTTTCTTCTCTCTTGAAGAGCTCGCAGCAAGATCTTCTCCAAATTCATTGTTCACAAGCTTTGCTCGGGCCTTTACAAACTTCAGAAAATCCTCAAATTTTGGCCTTTCTCCTGCTTCAATGATTCTCCCCGCACATTCTGCCCACTTTGCTCTCATAAAATAGGGTAGCTTCCTATTCAGCTCCATCAGGGTGTTGGTGTGGTTCAAGTCACTGACATATTCAGGACCCATTCCCTTCAGGGTTCTCTCTGCTATCTCAAGGCTTCTTGAAAACTCTAACAATGCTGACCCAGTGCTAGCTTTCAATGGTGGCAATTGTTCTAACTTCTTTAAATGAGCTTTCGCGATAACATGAGGAAGACCGAAATTTTCTTTCAGGGTTTTCTTTGCAGATTCATAACCTTCTGACACTGGTAGGTTTACACAACTTTCAATCGCTTCTCTAGCTTTACCAGTACAGTGTTGAATTAGTAACTGAAGACTTCTAGAACCATCGGTATCATCTTCCAAGCAGGTTTCAAAGTTGCGCATGAATGACACATAGTCAATTGGATTTCCACCAAAATGCATGTATTCTATCTTGGGAGTGTTCATAACTTGACTCAGAGTTTTAACTATCTGCTGACCGGTATTCAAATCAGCTTGCATTGGCAAATTTCCTGAATTTCCCTGTGGATGACCCGCTACAACTTGAAAGTTCTCGGTAGGGGGTGGCGGTTCAAATTTCCTGTCAGTTCCTGATAAATCTGACACACTATCTCCTTGGAGAGGTGTTCCTGGCTCATCCCCCTTTGAAAATGGTAACTTCACAGATTCAGTGTCAGTTGGCACTGGTTTGGTGTCATGCTTCGGCGACTCTTTAATCTTCAATTTGGAACCCGCTTGCTCTACAACATTCTCAACATCACCCTTCAGCCCGGAATCGTGTAAATCACCATGCAGATTCTCCCCTTGGCTAGGTAAACTCTTTCCCTTAACCCTTGCAGACCCAGTTTTTTGGTCCATGATACTAAAACTCACAAAGGCTCTCTCTGCCTCCATTTCGGCCTCCATTAATTCCTTTGCATAATTAATTTCAGCCATTTTACGGTCAAGTTCTTGTTTTCTTTTCAAATGTTCTAAGTTTAGTCTTGCTAAGGCCATTTTTTCTCTTCGAGCCTCAGAACCAGCACTAACATAACTAGATTTCGATTTTTTCGAAACAGTACTCACGTGTTCGGCGCTCCTCCTCCCAGGATCAATTCCACGAGACCTCGCAGACCTTTGACTCCCGCCAATAACCTCAAACAAATCAAGCAACAAATCGCGAAGTCGTTTCACCGTGCCATCCATTTCCAATTTCCTTGCTGATTCCTCATCGTAAACCATAAGAGCCTTTCGCTTTTCCGGTTCCAACTCCATCAACTCCATAAAGCAATCGTGTGCATCTACGAATTTCCTCCATATTTGGTCATAAGATGCAAGTTTTAAAGCCAAATCTTCAGACCGCAAATCCTTTCCTTCGGCTAATAAAGACTCAATTTCTCCTCGCAATTTCTTTAACGCACCAGCAAATCCTGCCTTTGATCTCTTTAGCTGTTCGGCTCTTTCAGCTTTATCTTCCTCTTCGTTCCTCCTTGTCGAATACGTTTTCAGTCGAGCTCCTCTTCCCGCCACAGGACTCACAGGACACGAATGTGTTGACATGTTTACTCAAATTCAGCCCACCAAATGAAGCGCTCAGTTCGAAAACTGTCAGTAACATACTGGTTTATTCACAAATATCTCCAAATGTTCAAAGTCCGTACGGCCACGGACCACAAAAATATAACACAGTTGCACAATCCGAGGCACACAGTGAAAACTCACAATCGACACGTTCCTTGTTTACATAAGGGCGATGCGAGTGGTTTTCTGCGAAAAATATAAATGTCCAATGTCTTATATGTTCTTCAAAACGTTTACAAATGTACACAAATGTCCACTTGCCGAACTGTATGGCCTCTCGGTTTAAAATAAACGAAATAAGCTCTGTAAACTCCGTATTTAATAACAAATAAATCTGGCACTTGAAAGCACATGGCGAACACAACAAGATTGCTCGCGTGGTCACGTGACTGCAAAAATGACAAAATCCTACTCAGGGGAGTCGGGAGTGACAAAGAATCATTGGCACGGAGCTTTGTGTGCTTTCCAAATACATAACTGGACCTTTATTAACTTAATGAAAGTGCATTTTTGTCATTTATAGGCCACATGCAGTTAACTTGAAAATTGTGAGGGAAGCGATAATGGGCGGAACAGACCCATGTCAAATAAGATGGAAGGTGGTATATGCGATTGAAGTTGTAGATTGTCAAGCAGAACTTCTATCTGCAGTCTGTATCTACAGTTCGGGTTTCGTTTTGTATTGACTAAAATATGCGCATATCGGTATCAATAGACACTTGCTTGCTCCCATGGGTGGTTCAAGTTTTGCACTTTAAAAGCTGACGTTTTGAGCATTAGCCTTTCGTCAGAGCGATCAATCGTTAATCGCTATGGACTCAGTTGATAACATTTAATTACCCTATTGTACTTTCCCACCGATGCAGCACCTCTAGTAAGGAAACCGAGTTATGTATTCGACAATCGAGTTTTGTAACCTTTCTTTTCTTAGTTTGTTTTTTCTATTGATAACCTCTTTGGCTTCGCCAGTTTTCAAGTTCAGAAAAAAAATATGCTTGAACAATGTTGATGTAACAACTGTTCGATTAAGTTAGCTCCTTTCAAACTTTTACGAGGATCATTCACTTTGGCTTTGACGCGAGGGAATTGTGGTCAAAATTAATGCAAAACGATGCAACGAATGTTTACGACAGAAACAAACTGAAAAAGAAAAAAATCTCACTTCTTGTAACTTTAACAAGTGCCGCACACTGTAGAGTTGATGCCGCCTTTTACAGTTACATAGCACTGTTATTTTTTCTCTCACTTTTTTTTCCTCCTTCTTCTTATTAAAGCTTTCCTTGCCTTACGAAAGTTCAAAAGCTTGCAAAAAACTGAGGGAATACGTATCACAACGAAAACATGTGCGCAATTGTCCACCACACCTACAAAAAGCTGTAATCCCATGGGTGAACTCTAGATGAGGGCTTCATTTTTATGTGTAATTCCTTTTGCGGTGGAGAAAAAAATTCCCAAATCAATTTATTAAAAACGAAATTTCAAGTTACTGGAAAAAAAATTTAACAACAAGACATGGATCTCCTTCAAGTTAGTAATCTTGCCAACGATCCGACTATCGAACTGATCCAGTGGCTACAAGCTCTCGTCGCAAACCCGCTCAGATGCTTAACGTGCAACCAGCCCATGGAACTGAATGAATG